GCTGTAGAATTTGAATTTATTCCTAGACACAGGTAATTCAGACTGTACACGTTCTTACTGCTAATGGCCCTGGCCTAATTATGTGTAGGAAGTGGCAATATAGTTCTGCTTGGCTGGCTCCTTTCTCTCTCTAAGGGAGAAAATTACTCGAGTCTGCATTAAAGTTAAGGTGAACCAAAATGCAGAGTGAAATTTGGGGTGGAGGAGAGGGAAAATATGAAGGTAATTTATTTTTTTTTGGGAATCTGTTGTAGGTCCTGTGTTGTTGATGAAAAGATGTGGTCCTCATCAGCAACTGTGTATGTTTAAAAGATCATGAAGTCAAAATGTTTCTCTAGAGGGATCAATTCAGAATTCCCCCTTGTCCTGTTGACTAGAGCACTGCCAAAAGCTGCCAGCTGGAACAGAAAAACATAGTTTTCAGAGTGAGGCAATAAATGTACAATAGATATCTGTTTTGACCATACCTGCTTCTCAAGGCTGCCATCCCTCTTCTAGAYAAGAGTACAAGTCAGACTTGAACTCTTAAGAGCCAAGAAATGCCAAAGTAATTACCAGCAATGCTGTCTGCTTGTATTGCTATAAAAATAATAGACTTTGTGTTATRTGTGAAGGATAGAGATTCAGCTAGCAAATTAATCTCATCGCCTTGGTTATTTTTAACTGCTGGAATCTCATGGCTGGCCACCTTAAATTTTAATGTGTCTTGTGTTTGTATGATGGAACTTGCACTTGTGTGGAACAGAGCAGTATCATGGGGAAGGTGAGAGGAACATTGCATGCACACACTGCAGCTCTGTTTACTGTTTCTGCAGTTTAAGAAGGCATGCAGTGTCTGGCAGCTTTGTTCTCATCTGTGGGTCAGAAGCTGTGCACTGAATTGTGACTGGGTAYGCTTTGTGTCTGAGCTTGATCCTAACATCAGGAAGCACAAGCTAGTGTTGCAGCGAATGCRAGCTCTTTTATTGTGTGGAAATTAAGCATCAATAGATGCGGAGCCACAAAGAAGCATGGGAGGACACAGTACTGCTTTTGTGCATTCACTGTATCCTCACATGGTTTGTCCCATCAGGATTCAATGAAGATTGTACATGTGGTCCAAAGTCTGTCACTTTGCAGCTTTGTTAAGTCATATTTTCTTAATATAACTTAAATTTAAATAAATAAATAAATAAATAAACAACCCAAACACACAGCCATTTGCTTTTCTTTTTGAGAACAGGACAAGTAATGATGAAAAAGTCTGGATCATTTGCACCATCTCTCAGTGGTTTTGTTAGTGTTGCAGGAGGAATCATGTGGACTCCACAGGGAACCCTTCTGTAGGAAATAGAAGTTGCTAYTTGTCTCTTTTTTAGTGACAGGGAGATTGTAAAGTTGGCCTTGCCAAGGAAAAAGACCTATAAAATAAACAAATTATTTTTCTGCCTCTGATTGTGGTTAATTCTGACCTTGTGATGTTCTGATACCAAGCCTGATGCATTTTTCCTTAGGCTAAAGGACTAAAAGTCTCTCTTAGGCATCTGGTCCATTTGGCTGTTTCTGGAAATGAGTGAAGGTTACAGTGACTGCACAGTATCTCAGAAATCTTGAACTGCTGTAATAAGTTCTTCTGCAAATCTTTTTTTTTTTTTTTTTTTTTTTTTTTTTTTTTTTTTTTTTTTTTTTTTTCTAACAACTTTTCCAAGTCTAGAAGGATTTCCATCGAAACAAGGAAAAGGCTGTTTTTTTTTTTTTTTTTTCTAACAACTTTTCCAAGTCTAGAAGGATTTCCATCGAAACAAGGAAAAGGCTGTATGTGAAGTTAAGGTGTTACTGTAATAATATCTCTTCTACCACTCAAGGATGAAATGTTTAAGATTTCTGCTAATAAGTTGGAAATATTTATTAGGAACTAAGCTTATGCTCCTCTGTTTTCTTTCTCAAAAGCCACAGGAACATTTCAAAAACTGTTGAAATGAGAAGTCTATAAAATTTTATGCTCTGTACATCTCTCTGTTTTAGTTTGAATGTTCTGAAATAAAACACCAAATAAAAATAATCACTTTGAGTAATGTGTTAGAATAAATGTGCATGGGCAAAAGTATGCTGGTGGATTCAGYTGGAAAAGCTTAAGAAATCATCTGTTTTCAGCTGAACATCCCTGCCTGCATAACAGAGCTGGGGTAGATAGACTTTCTCATGGTGAGGGWGACCATATACTGGCAGATTGTCCTACAAGGTTGTAGAGTATCCATCCTTGGATCTGTCTGGACACGGTCCTTGGGAGCCAGCTCCAAGCTGCGTCACTTGAACGGGGAGTGGGGTAGACAAGGTGATTTCCAGAAGTCCCCTCCAACTTCACCCATTCTGTGGATGGATTTTGTTCATCTCCATAGTTCATTTCAGTGTGAAGTTAAACAATTAAATTTACTTCACCTTTACAGTGAAATCAAAAGACAAGRCTCTGTGTTTTGGGACCTTCAGGACTGACTCTTTGCCTCTTATGCACAAGTGCTYATTTTTGTTCAGTTGCCAATGGTCCTGTTCCCTGACACTGTTCAGTGGCCATTCCAGTGGCTGCCTAAGTGAAACATTTAGGAGTTGGCTTAAAAAAAGTAAGAACTTTTGGTCTTTTTGTTTGCAACAAAAACAGGTAAGGCTATAGTAGATGGAAGGAGAGAAGAGCTATTAGGGAATGCAAGACAGCAAAAAATGGCCCTGTGGCTGAAAATTTTTTATCATACAAGTAGTACCTGGAAGCATCCAGACAATCTTTTGCTCTTTCTAAGGCCAAGTCTCACTAAATTTACCACAGGGGAGCACAGCCATGTGTATTCTGTCAGGAATTGCTTCCTGAGAGAACATCTAATTGCAGATATTAAAATAGCATCACACTAGAAGCAGTATAGTGTTGTGTGGGTTTAGGATTTTGGGGGGTTTTTGGTTTGTTTTTTTTTTTTTTCTTTTTTTTTTTTTTTTTTTTTTTTTTTTTTTTTCTTTTTTTTTTTTTAGTTTTTTTTTTTTTTTTGATCAGAGATAATTTTTCTAATTGTGCAGCATAGGAGTACACTGGGAGACCAGTTTACTCTTCACTAATGCAGCTGCCGTAGGAATGGGATTTTTGTTTATGCTGGAGAGGGCAAAGGTCACAGAGGTCAAGTATCAGGCTTTTAAAAAGTTAGTAATAGTCTCTCCTGGGAGAGGCTTTACAGGGAGCTTGTCTAAAGCTTTTTGTACTTGGGGCAGTCCTTGCTTTATCATGTTCTGTAGTCATTTTGCTTATGAATTGAGCAGAGTAGTTCTGTACCACAGATTTGAGGGGGAATTGTCTGAGTCCAGTATTCTCTGACGAGGCTCATTTAGATATTCTATGTGTGGAATGTGCAGTGTTTAGTATCAGATTTAATTATTTGGAGATACTTACTGTGACATGGGATTTCTGATTTAGTGAAGCAATACCAAGTATACTGAGATCACAATCCAAAKACATATTATACTTGTCAAAATACAGCAATAGCTATGTACAGTTCTATTGCAATACTGTTCTGAGTTCCATTTCTGGTCTCTGTAATCCTAGCATCTTAATGCTGTGCATCCTCAGTCACTGAGATGGAACATGTGGGTTGAAATTAGCCCAGGCCCATTGCTTTCTTTATTTTTTTTTTTGTTAGTTGGTCAGTTTTTATACTCCATATCATATTAAGCCACCTCTTCACTTGGCTCATGATGGTCTGGCTTGCTCAGGTAGTCAGTCACACTCTTTAAATCTAACTGGGAGAAATATTTACACCATCAGTTGATCCACTCAGCTGTGGATAGGACACCTAATGTGTAAAACAAAGGCCAGCCTCTCCCTTTTGTCTTGAGATAAATACACGACTTGCTTTGGAAAAGCAGTGGTCAGTCACAGGAGTGTGAGTTGCAGACCAGGGTCCAGTTGCTCATATGCTTTACAGACACATCATCTATGAAGGATCCCTTCTCAGAGAGCAAAAGTCCAGCTGCTGAGCTGCTAGGGTTTCTACTCTAGCTCAGTCAGCCCTGGCGTGCCTAACTAACTTAAATTTCCTTAGCAAGGGAAAAAACTGAGATGGTCTTTCATCATAGAAAATTATGTGTGACAASGAACATGCCAAAAGCAGTCAATTAGCAGCATTTCTATCATATGTAGATATAGGCAGCTGAAATATGAAAGTCATGTAATGAACATGTGATTCTGTGCCTTGAGAAGGGCTGTTCATTGAAAAAAAAAAAAAAAAAAAMAAACAACCTACCTGTGTTTTCATTTACAGAAATGGTTTTTGGTGAGGTATCCATTTAGRTTCCTTTATGTGGGGGGAGTTTAGCCAAACTATTTTTTTTCCTTGCATGAGTCTTGCATGAATAATGTTGCTTTGAACTATTCATTCTTTACATCTATTTGTTGCTTTGGATGCCTTACTTGTAGAATCCAGTGTCCTGACAAGGAATGTCTCCCTAGAAATTCTGAGGTAGTGTCTGCTTGCATTGCCTTGATAGCTGGAAAGAAGAGTTTGAGGGCTGCCTCAAGAGCTGACTTAACACTGCATGGATTTTAGCATGGACAATGCTGTCTGTGATTCCTCAGTTAAAGGCACCTGCTAATTTAAAGTCAGAGCTAAAACAGGGTCTGGATAACTTGAGGCAGAATATTTGTGGGGTTTGAGGTACTGGAGCCCAAGAGTACAAATATTTCTGGGATGTTTCTGTATCTCTAGAGATAGAGATTTCCAGGTGGATAATTTGTTCTGTATCTTCAGCTTGCCTGATCTATTCTGTCATTCATCAAGACTTCAGGAGGTAGTGATAAAGCCTGTCTATTGTCTTTTACTGTGACATTCTAATTAATGCTCACATCTGACCTATTTTTTTCCTGTGCTGTCTGTTGCAGTGCTTGATGGCCACAGCAGGGCACTAAACAATATTAGAAAAAAAACCCCACAGCATTAAGACCTATAAATTCCAACAACCGTCTGGAAAAGCAGTTGTAACAGCCTTCCTGGTGCAGCATGGCATTTGGACCTGGTGTTCTCTGCCTGTTCCTGTGGACAATAACAGGTAGGAGTTTACTTCTCATGTGTCTGAGTCATCCAGACAGAACAAGAGAATTAAATKCTCCTGGAGTGTGTATACAGCTGTGACATAAATATGAATGAGGCAAGAGCTGGGAAATCTTGTGACTCCCTGGTGCAAAAAGCTTTGGTATGGTACAGCTTCAAAACTTGCAGTGGAGGAAGGCATTTGTGAGTTGCTGTTGGAAGCCAATTTCAGCAGGCTGTCTCTAGGGAGATGCATGGGGCAGGAGTGGGTAGTGGGAGGGTTTAAGGAGTTTTCCCTCTTTCTCTTGCAGGACAGCAATTTAAGAATGATGCATTGCTTGGATTCTAAACTACTCTTTTGTTCTGAATTATCATAGGGGGGTTTATTTATGAGTGGTGTGAATGCAGTGACTGACGTCTCTCACCTTATCATCCTCTCTACATATATATTTCTTTCCAAAAACCATAGGAAAGTCTTGTAAGTTTCTGCTTCAGCCACAGGRATAGGAAACTTATTTCCGTAACTAGACAGATGAAGAATAATAGTAATTCTTAATACTCCTCTGTCAGAGAGACTTAATCTGGTGCAGGTATTTTTGATACGGTAACTGAAGACAAATATATGAAGTAGTGGGGTTTATTTCCTTAAAAAAAATATTGTTTGAATTCTAGCTGTGGTGGTACTGGCAGTATCCATTTAGCAGAAATTGAGAAAATAATACACAGTTATCTGACTGTCATGCTCCAACCGTGGGGAACCGCAAGGAGTTCTTTTAAAATGGATGGTCAAGATCGAAATGAAGTYGAACGAGACAGACTTTGTATCTGAGAACCATTTATTGGTAACAAAAAACTGAGAAGTAGTAATTGCCCACTAAAGGGGGCTGGAAAAGACAGCAAAAGAGAAAGGAAAATGGAAAAGGAACGGGTAGAGAGAGAAAGGAGACAGAGGGAGAGAGCGGGTGTTACCACCAGCAGGACCGGGGGTGCCATCCATGTCCACATGACGGGGGTGAGCGCTGCTGCCGGAGGGAGAGCAGCTTGGGGAGAGGAGCGGCTCCCGCAGCGATGGGTGCTGGACACACGGTGAGTGGACACTCGGACAGGACCGGGACCCTGGGTGGAGTCGAAGAAAGGATCGCGGTGGCAGGCGAGGTCGGAGGCAGGCAGGTGGCTCAGGCAGGACAGGCGGTGGCTGGGCCAGGTGAAGGAGCGGGGCGAGGCAGATGCTGCACTCGAGGCTTGGAGGGCAGATGGAATCCTGCCGAGCACCTAGGAGGGAAGGAGGATACATGGGGGCGAGCGAGAGCTGGCGAGGACAAAATCCAGGCAGGCTGGAGCTGGAGCAAAAGGACCCCTCAGCAGCAAAACCACCAGCAGTGAGCAACAAAGAGAGAGTGACCGAGCAACAGGAGCAGCAAAAACCCCAGCCATACGCCCACAGAGACAGACCTCATGCCAAAGTCCACCTCCCCAAAGTCCAGCTCCCCAGGCTCATAGCACCATTGATTTTTATAGCCCCTGGCTCCTCTCAAAGTCTGCCTGCTGACCAGGAGACCATTGGCCCAGTCCAAGCTTCTTCCATTGGTGGAGCCCTTCCACCATCTGATTGGAGAAATGTCTCTGGGGTGAGCAGTGTCTCCAGGTGCCCATGTGAGGTGTTGCCAACTGAAATCCCCCCAGAGACAAGGCTCCACACATGTCCTGGTTGCCTCCTGCAGGCAGCTCGTGTGCACCCCTTCCCCCACATGCCTCKGACAATCAGTGTTGAGGCAAATCAAGATTCAAATGGCTCCTCACACTGACTTTCACGTCTTGTAATATAAACAGGATGGGCTGTTCCATGAGGGAGAGATTTGCTTAATATGCTAAGGCTTAAATTGACTACTGAATTTGGAAAAATTGGATGAAAGGGGATAGATGTTAGCCTACMTCTGAAGGGAGATAGGTATTAAGTGTGGCTGTGCTCATAGCTGCTTCAAAGTAGTCACAAAGAGCATTATTAGAATCTCATAGTGCCAAGCTTTTTGAGGAGAACACAGAGCTGAGATGTTTGTTTCTGTGGTTAAAAAGTATATCCCTTGTAAATAAAATCCTCTCCTATGAGATACTGAATACCTGCTGTAGGCTCCATACTTGTATTTTTAGAAAAAAACCCACAACAACTTCAGCAGAAGACAGTAATTGCATTAAATACTGAAATTTGCCTGTAGAGAATGTCACAGTTTCATGCTTTTGATAATACTGTTAATTGTTAGCAGATTAGAATAGCTTCCACATGCGCATAGGAAGTTATCTGTTTTTAGTTGCAAATTTGCTATGCTCTCTTGGCTTATCTGAGAACAAGACCATGGCACTCAAACTGCTGGCTGCATTTGAAGCCTCTCTCTGTATCTCAGCTACCAGCTCATGGTGTTTAGAGGATAATATAATCTAATAGCTCATATTATTTTAGTAAAAAATGTTAGTATTTATTTCCATCTCAGTAATTTGCTGTATTTTTAATACAATTCTTTTTTAATTAAATGGGAAAGTTCCTGCTAATTTCCATGGTTTGCTACAATGTATCGGTAAATGCTCAACTTTTCTAAGTCAAAAGGACTTATTTTAAGTGCAACTTTAAGGTGAATTGGCTCAGACTCAAGAACTTGCTAGATGTTCATTATGCCCTTTTTTCTGCACATGAGCTTGCTTTTAAGGGCTACCTTTTCTTAAAAAACCTCAAATTATTTCAACACTTGTTTTAATTTAAGATAATGAGAAGGCTRACATAATACAGGAAAGAAAACCTTGATATTCCATCACTGAGAGAAGAGAGAAACAGGCCCACTGATGAATATTGTTGGAAGGACATTGAAAAATATGCTCTGATTTATTAAAAGAAATTGAGGTGCTGCTTAGGTGATATTTATTTAGTTTCATTTTGTGCATGATGGTTTTTGACTAATAGAGTTTTTCTGCTTTTAATGAATGTGTAGGTTGACCTTTGCTGGCTGCCAGGTGCACAGCAACTCGCTCTATCATTTCCCTTTCTCAGCAAAATGGGAGAGAAAAATATGATTAAAAACTCCATGGACTGAGATCAAGACAGAGAGGTCATGTGYCAGTTACAGTCAAGAGCAGATGTGACTTGGCTTAGGGAAGTTAATTTAATTTATTGTCAATTAAGTAGAGCAGGGTAATGAGAAGAACTACCATAAAAACATCTTCCTCTCATTTGTACTTTCTTTCTAGACTCAACTTTACTCCCAATTCTTCTTTCTTCTTCCCCTGAGCAACTGAGGGAATGAGGGCTGCAATCAGTTCATAATACTTCGAATCTGTTGCTCCTTTCTCCTCACACTCTTTCCCTGCTTCAGGATGGGGTCTTTCCCCCGGGCTCTAATTCTTCAAGAACCATTCCACCACGGGTCCTTTTCACAGGGAAGTCTTTAAAGAACAGGCTATTCCAGCGTGGATCCCCTGTGGGGTCACAGGTCCTGCTGGAAAATGTATTTCTCTCTGGCCTTCTCTTAACGGGGTTGCAGCTCAGGCCAGGAGCCTGCTCCAGCCTGGGTTTTCCAAGGGTTCACAGCTTCATTCAGGGTCTTCATCCAGCTGCTCTGAGGTGGGATCCTCCYTGGGCTGYAGGGGTACATATCTGCTTCCCTGTGGACTGCCATGGACTGCAGCAGGACAATGTGCTTCACCACAGTCAGCAGGGGAATACCTGCACTGGCACTGGAGCACTTCCTACCCCTTCTTCACTGACCTTGCTGTGGCTTGGTCACACATTTTCTGAAATGGCTTTTCACACATTTTCTTACTCCTCTTTCCTGCCTGCTGCAGATGTGCCAGACTTTTTGCTCCTTTGTACATACCTTATCACAGAGGAGCTGCCACAGTCCCTGGTTGGCTCAGCCTTGGCCAGTTGTGAGTCTGTCTGGTAACTGGCCCTGCCCTGACACTGGGGCATTTTCTGGTGTCTTCTCACAGAAGCTATCCCTGCAGTCCATTTCCCCCACCCTCAACTACCAAGATGTGCCACATAAATCTAATTGAGACAGATACCGTTACTAACTAATGTTTGTGCCTCTCAGGAGGCTTGAGCTTTATGTGGCAATAGGTATAAGTGTGTATCATGCCTCTGTCATTAACCATCTCATGCATTTTGGATGATTGATTTCCAAAACCTCTGGATGCAGCTGCTAATTTATCCATATGGACATTACTTATAATGCTTATAATCTCACTTTACTTTTTTAAATCAATTCATTGGTGAAATCAGCATATATTGAAATACATTTAAATTATTCTGGCCATCAATTACTTTTTTACTAATGTATCAAAAAAAAAATCTCTGTGAGAGAGAAAAAATGTTGTTTTGTAGCACAGAAACAACAGTTTATCTTGCAACTGGGAGTCCGATATCTTGGAATGAATTAAGTATAGCTGTCATCTTGAGAAGGCATATTCTAATTTGGCATTTGAAGCAGAGCTTGCAAATACTGTTRTTGAAATGCATTTTTGCAAATATAATGAATAGCGTTTTCACAGCTGACTCTCTGTTTTCTCATACTGTGTGTGCATATTGTGTGCTTTGTTCTGAGATTAGCCACTCCAACAAAAATTGAAAGAGGGATTGCCAGGTAATTTCAGTCACAGTTGTTGTGCTGTCTAGTCTCTTGTTTTTAAGTCCACAAAGCCCAGATGTAGATTAGATGACCTCAGGTTTTTCAATACATTTCACCAATATCCTTTTCTTTACTCTAGCAGAGAGTGTTACTAAATACCTCCATTTTCAATGCATTTCACTACTACTGGTCTTGGACTTTGAAAAATATTAATACCCTTTTCTTCCCACATGTCTGACATGTGAAACAAAGGCTAGGAGTGTCAAATGACACTTTAAGATGTAGGTGTGCCTTTGAAATGACAGTGGAACCACTGGGCTGGGGTCATAGTGCATTCGTTTTTACTTATACTGCCATGACTAGATGTYCTAGTGTTCCGGTTCACATGGGTATTTCCAGAGATACAAGATGATGTAGTGCTTGGTAAAGATCTCTGAGATTATAGTGAGTTATGCTGTATGCCAGGTTTTTTCACATTGTCCATGTCTCTGTTGGAAGTGGTCTGGTATTTCCTTGTGGAGGTWTTGAATAGCTGCAGCTGTGCATCTACCCTGCTTTTTTTCCTTTTTTTTTTCCTTCTCTTTAGATGGCACTTAGTTGGTTTATCAGAGACAAACAGGGATGATGACAATTCATGGAATGAAAACAATACTTGGAAACAATCATCAGGCCCACTGAACTAATTATGATGCCTTGACAAATCCTGGATAAAAGAAGTGTGAAGACTGCTGTAATGACCATAAAAGCTTTGCAGATCATTGTTTGCAGATGTAATTAGATTCCTGTTAGCTGTGTCTTGTGTTGAGGATTTGCTTTTATGTAACCTAGCTTTTTTTTTTTTTTACCCGTTTTTTCTTCAGTCAGTACCTTTAGCAACACCCAAAATATTACTTTGTTATCGCATATGTDTCTTTGTTTAAAGACCTGAGAGATGTCAGACAACTTCAGGGCAGCCTGCAGAAAAAGAATGAAAACACTTTGATGGTGTGCAGAGATGTTAGCTGCTGCTGGAGGAACCAATGCAATGACATTTCAGATGTTGCAGCTCACAGTGACACTGCTTTCCCAGGACAGGACCTACCTTCTGCAGGGCATTACCAGAGCTGATGGAGTATGAGCCTTTTTCAGCATTTATGATATAAAGTGTGCTTTTCAGGGGTTTATAGCTCTGCTGTGGAAATTCTCTCTAGCTTGAAAATTGGAATTTTAATTTCTCCTTTAGATGACTGTAACTAAAAATAGAAAGTTATTTTAATTTTGCTTCCAGAACCTTATCAAAATTGGTTCAGTGTGAAATTATGGTAGTAGTAAAAAACAGAACTTATTTTTTACTGATATAATGTCTTTCATCTCAAAATTCACCAAACGAGGTGAAAGTTACTTGGGTAGATTTAAAAAAAAAATCGCTAAAAACAGAATGGAATTAGTTTGCTGCTGAAAGAGAGTGGATGGAGCATATGGCAAGAAAACAGAGACAGGCCTACTCTTCCTGTGGCAAACTGCTACAGGATGCTGCATGCTCAGGTAGTTCAGAGACTTTTAGGATGTGAGAAAAATGTTCTATGTGGGCTCTCAATGCTGTGCTGCCTGCAAGGAGGTAATGGGATTCTGGTCAAATGTGACTTCTCTTATTGCAAGGTCTGAATATAAGCTTTTCTCTTCTACTGCGCATTCCCTCTTGCCCCTTCTTTCTGCTTCTTCTTACAGTGGTCGCAGCTAGGGAAAGCAAAGTAGCCCATGGGTGGATAGTTCTGCCCTTGCAGGGTTTCCTGCTGGGATGTTTTGCTCTGATGACCCCAGTGTTAATACACTGTCACAATTTGCTACTGACTGACTAAAGAATATTTGCTGGCAAGTCATTCAAATGCTTGTGGCTGCATGAGCGTGGGGGAGAGCAGCTGGTAGGTTTCCATGTCCATTTGAGGAAAGGTCTCCAGCCAGCTGCAACAGGAGACCCTAAGGTACTTCTGCAAARTATGTCAGGATCCTACACTGAAAAATCCTCCAAAGTACAAATATTACTGCAAAGGACATGCTCAGAAAATGTCATGGTGATATTAGTAAAAGGAAATGAGCTTTTTTGAACAGGGTACTACATGTGTTCATATTGTAAACTATTTATGGTCACAGTAAACTRTATTATGGCTTGGTTGTAGTGCTGTGCCTTACACTGGTGGTGTTGTTTCAGGTTCCAGTTGTGAGCAGTGCAGAGAAGGAGCCACGTACTCAGGTGCAGTAATATCTCCCAACYTAGAAACCACTAAAATCATGAGAGTCCCTCACGCTTTGTCAGTGTCCGACTGCATCGCAGCRTGTTGTGACCTCTCTGGTTGTGACTTGTCCTGGATGTTTGAACGGCGCTGTTACATCGTGAACTGCCAACACAAGGACAGCTGCAAACCTAAAAAAATTGAAACTGTAAAGTCCTACCTTACCTTTGTGCTGAGGCCTTCTCAGAGGCCAGCCTCACTGCTAGGACTTGGGCAAGTGATCCCGAGCATGGTCCACTCTGTGGGACTCCAGAATGAGCCATCTGAGGAACTGAGTAGCCTGAAGAAGCTGTCTCTGCTTGGCAARGATCCCAGCTTTGAGGAGATACCTGAATACATTGATGATTATAAAGAGTTGGAGCAGGACCCCTTTCAGATGGGCATCAAACATGAGCAGAAGGACAGTATGGATTATACAGACTGGGGCCTGATGATGGCAGGTGAAAATGGCTTCAACACTTCCATGGATGAGGATGGAGATAACCAGGAAGATTTTGCTGAAAAGAAAGGGGAGGCTGGGAAGGTGGAAAGCCTTCTGAATAAAAACAGCTCTGAACTGACTTCCGTCAATGAGCACCCCACAGAGAGGCTGTCATCTCTCCTGGAGATTACACCATTCCCTGGGAAGACATTTGAAAGGGAAGCAGCTGTTCCACTTCTTKCACAACCTGAGGATGCTTTGCAAAAGGAGGTATGTTTGCCCCTCAGGAAGCAGGCAGAGTATGGTGAGGCTACTTGGCAATTATTTTGGTTTTCAAATGTTTGAAAAATCTTAGGTTATTGCTTTGTAGTATTAAACTCTCAAATGACCTACAGTTCTGTTACCATGTAGAAGAGGCTGAAGGGGATATGATTGTCTTGATAGGCAGGTGAATCACTAAAGGACTTTTTTTTTTTTTAATCAGACACTAAGGAGTAGAGTTCCTTTTGGGGCACTGCAGGGCTACCTTGAAAGTGTAAAAATGAATGAACTTGGACTGGGTGTAATAGTGTTAAAGTGGTCTTCACTTCTGACCCCTCGTAACTCAAAGGAAGAAGTTAGCAGAGCAGTACTGGTGGACCTTCTGATGCCAAAGGCCAAGACCAGTAAATGTAAGCTCCTCCATCAGTAAAATTGTCTGCTTTATCGGTTTCATGCTACTAATGCATACTGGTGTTACAGATGTAAGTGCTGAGTTAATTTTTATAGTRGTTTTAGAAACATATGAGAGGGGCGTGATATTTAATTTATGGTGGTAGCATTTTTGGACCATGATGTACAGCATGATAAATGGATAAGGTGTTTCAGTTCTCAGAATCCTTTTCTTGAGTCTGAAAATAAGAAAAAAAGTAAAATCTAATAAATCAATACAAGARAGATGCAAACTTCTCTATTTATGCCAACCAGTTTGATCAGTTAAGACTAAAGGGGCCTTGGTTTCTTAAGAACAGGATGGGTTCAACGGGAAAGTTAAAACAGGCTATAAATTCAGCATTCCCTGGGTTTGACTCCCCTTGCCAGAGGGAAGAGGAAATTAATCAATGTTAGCTAACTTGCTCTGAATTCCGCAAGATTTTGCAACCAGCAAGTATCTCTTGCTGTAAAAATGGTAATTTATTGCTGTTACTGGAGGGAAGAAAAATACAAGCAAATAAGAAAGCTGCATGAAATCTGTGACAGGTGCAGTTCTGGGAGGGGATGATTGATGTGTGGAGGACAGCAAGTCTTAAGAAACAGATAAAGACTTAAGGTAACTGGAAGGAGCCTCATGTTAATAGCTCTGGTCCTCATGGGGAATTTAAGCCACCCCAATACCTACCAGGAGGGCAAGAGAGCAGGGCTCCAGAAATGCAGGAAGTTTCTCTAGGTTGTTGATAACTTAAAGAAGGTTATTGCTTTGAGCTGCTTTGAGGAGAAAGAGACACTACTGGACCTCACCCTTGCAGACAGCAAGGGATTGATTAGTTAKGGATGCAGGCATGAGGTAGAAGCTCCTAAGAGGGGCAGGAATAAGTCAGAAAGCAGAATCACAACATGGGCTGCAGTAGAGCAGTGTTTGGCCTGTTGTGGGATCTGTTTGGGMGAACTGCAAGGGAGGTTGCCCTGGAGTTAAGTGGGGACCATGACAGCAGGTTGCTTTTTGAGGACCACGTCCTCTAGGTTCAAGGTAGCCCGTTACTGTTGTGACTGACTAAGTTGGTCTAGAGTGTACTGGAACAYGTGAGAAGAAATTAGAATTCATCTTTATTTGTATGGAAGAACATTTGACAACAGAGGAARTGCTGTGGCAAGCTGAAATTAGGTGCTGTTTCTGCAAGCGGAGTTGATAGGAGACTTGTTTTGACAATTTCTACCATGCACACCTTGAAACAAGCATAATTAACATAACTAGTTGTTTTTCTGTTAATTTGCAGAAAGTATGTACATATGTACATATCAAGAGTGTGATACCAAAATATGCTGTCCMTGCTGATAAAATTTAGAACGACATTCTGCCATGTACTAGTGTTGCAGTTAGTTCTAACAGAGGGCAATAGCTGAGCTRTTCTTACAAAGTTGAAATTAAGGACACCCGACCACACTGCTATACTGAACTCATGTCCCATTTTTCCTTCCATCTGCTAGGAGAAGCTAGCAAGCATTTTTTAGTTACTGACTGTATAGTGTGGTGGAAATCAAGCCACAGCAAGACCCTGCAGTAGGTCTGTGCACCACAGTGTTTATGCCCTTTAGGTGTGCAGCAAGACTTGAAAACTGTCTCCAYTGCATTTTGCTGTCAAATGGCAGACCCCTCAGTATGGTTATAAGCTTTAGCCAATTGTCAGGATCTCTGCTGACTAAATTGCTTATGCCTCATGCCTTAGAGAAGTCATAAAACTTTGAATTCACCTAAACTATGTGGCAGCACTGAGTAATTTGTTCCCTGTCTCTGAGGGATTTATTATGGCTTTCGTAAAATGAATACCATTTTATGAAAGTTGAGTTTTCACATCCTGCAGCAGTGATAAATATATATGGCCAGGCCTACTTTGCAAATCTCTACTTTGATTTTGCCACRCCAGCCAGTATATAAAGATTTTGATTTCTCTGTGTACACTGACTATGTACATGGGAGTTTATTGTAAAGTGAAATTGAGAGAAACCTATTTCTCACCAGGTTACAGAGGAGCTCTTTGTATTATGATAAAGTTATGCTAGCACAGCCACTGAAATTCCAATAGAAATGCTGAGGAATGAGCTTGCTACTTTCAGTGCAGAAGGGATGAAACTCCAGACCTTGGTCAGTCTTTTGCCACTGCTGGYAATGATGCTGAAGAACTGATAAGACAAGTGGAGTTAGAAGGTATTTGGGATGTGCTCTGTGAGCAGAGCTGTAGGAAGCAGTTTGTTGGGGTAGCATTGAAAGCTGTTCATGATGTGTACTGAGAAATGGCTCTAAASGCTCTCTATTAATGCAGAGAAAGAATCTGGGGAAGGAGGAGGTTTTGAGGAACTACCAAAGCCTATGCAGCCTAGGTGRGAATCCTTTGAATAATTTGGGCATGTGTAGAGAAATGGAGATGATGAGCAGTTATAGCAAATAATTTTTCCTGGCCTTCCATAGAATAAACTTCAGTCCAGACACCTCCCTTCCTAGTCTCTCACTCCTTTTCACTGCAGATTATGCACAGTCCCTTTGGTGAGGTAACAGGTGGCCCAGGATKTTGAGGTCAGTGCATGGCAGTTTCCTTTTTGCCACTTGTCACTTCTTTCACTCTTCTGCCACTGCTCCTTCCTGTTTGTTTCATCTGCACTGGTGTGAGTTTCTGTGCGGGCCTCAGTTCCCTGGGAGATGTCATGGAGTCCCTGTTTCCAAGAGGCTGCATCCAGCCCTGTGCATAATAACATTCTCTTCCAGATGTTTCCTCTCAGTCCTCCTATCGTGCATGTCCCCACCTACTCGTGTGTCCCCTGCCCACAGTGKCTATTGCCTTTTTCAAGCTAGGTTTGAGAGGTTGCAGCATGTGTGCATGGTGGGTTGATTCCATCCACTGCCAAACTGCCTGGGACCACATCCAAGCCCTGCCAGTTCTGTATAACACAATTTCCAGTTTRTCTGCAAGTTTTTCTGGTTTGGGAACTTTTCTTGTGACTCTAGTGAAAAGCTGCCTGTGATCCTTCTGGTGATGGGATTTCCTTCTTATGTGTCTCTTTCTCCATCAAGCAATACTTTCATCAAATCTCATATGGATTGTTTGGTGCCAATTTGTGTTTCCTAATAAAAAAAGTTTTTTTTTGAAAACCACATTTTGTTATGAAGGAAATCTTAAATTTTTGCACTGTATTAAAAATGCCAAGAGGTCTCCAAGTAGTTTTTTCATTGGTATATCGTCCAAACAGCCTCTCAAACTGTGGTGTTTTATTACAGATTATGAAAATATGAAGGTCTTAAAACCATGCTTGCTACTAATGTTAATGAATTACCCTGTTAATTGCACATTATAAATGTTTTCCTATCATACTCTTAATTCTGCCATGGCAATTCTGTATCTST